CCCCTCTTTACCAGCTTCCGGTATATCATCTACATATTTCTACTAGAATAGGAAACCTATCAAATTGTTGGACAGGGGGGAGGCGGAAGAGGTAATGAGGAATAAGCTCACGATAAACGAGGTGCAATAGAAGAGGCGAAGACAATTGTGCATAAGATGGGAGACAAACTGACGTGCTAAAGGAGATGTTTGTTGCCAGAGGGATAGTAAAAAAGGAGGAGATTTGAGAGAAGAGATGATTGCCTTGTTTGGAGGTAGGGGTTGAGAAGAAGAGAATGGAACAAAGCTTCCTTACTTATTATAAAATGTGAGGGACATAATATCATTCCTTATTCAAGATATTCCTGACCATGATCTCTCTTGAAGGATCGGGTATTACCTCATTTTAAAAGTAAGTTTAATTCTGGGAGGTAATTCAAACGTGGGACGAGATCTGACTAATTTGCCTGGACCTTAATCCCACGTAAGAATTAGCTCCTATGTCTCTTTTCATAAAGCTTCTTTTCTTGCTGCTTTTTTGGTAAAAAAACCACCAAATTATTCTTGTCCTTGTACAAGGTCTTTGTGTCACTTTGAGTACATTGTCTCTTTTTCATCATGAGAGCTCATTTCCTTAGTTTGTTTTAATTTGTAGGTTGAAGCTACAGAAGTGTTCTTTGCTGTCACAAAACTCTTTCAATCAAAGGATCTTGGTCTAAGGAGAATGGTATACTTGATGATAAAAGAGCTTTCTCCCTCAGCCGATGAGGTAAGATCCTAGTTGATCTCCCGTGTTGATTTGTAAATTTCTACTTATTCTGTGGATGAAAATAACTTTTCATTTCTTTTTGCTCCAAAAGGTGATCATCGTTACTAGCTCTCTTATGAAGGACATGAATAGCAGAACAGATATGTATCGTGCAAATGCTATTCGAGTCCTCTGCCGAATCACAGATGGGACTCTTCTCACACAAATTGAGAGATACTTGAAACAAGCCATTGTTGACAAAAACCCTGTTGTTGCAAGTGCTGCCCTTGTTAGTGGAATCCATTTGCTTCAGGTACTCCCAGAATTTTGAAGAATCCTCTTTCCTTTGGTTGCTTGTTTGGTGGTAGCTTTCTTGAAAACCTTCTTTGTTTATGACTTTCCACAGACAAATCCGGAGATTGTGAAAAGATGGAGCAATGAGGTCCAAGAAGCTATTCAGTCAAGGGCAGCACTCATTCAATTCCATGCACTGGCGCTGCTGCACCAGGTATGAGTACTCATGGTTAATCAAGTAATTTGCTAATCTTTTCGAGAATTTGGTCTATTATCATCAATCCCTTCTTTTCATGTGATTACTAAATTCTTGTGTGCGAATTATAAAAAAAGAGTTAGTCCTCAAATATATATGGGAAAATACATTAAAACCCCCTAAAACATACCTGTTTGTTACTTTCATACTTAAAGTATGGGGCGTTCACAGTTACCCCTAAACTTTAATATTTCCTATTTAATACCTCCCAGTGTGCCAAGTAGTATGGAGAGTGGCTTCACTCTCCTTGTGGCATATGAGAGCCAAAAATTAGCCAACAAACAATAGCCACGTGAAATTTTTATGATTCTCTCTTATTAATTAATTATTACTGATTTTTTATTATTATTTTTTAATTATTTTGCTCTCTTTTTTTCTTATTCGATTTTCTTGAGTTCATTTTTATTCTTCAATTACACATTGTTTGTTGGCTAATTTTTGGCTCTCATATGCCACAAGGAGAGTGAAGCCACTCTCCATACTACTTGGCACACTGGGAGGTATTAAATAGGAAATATTAAAGTTTAGGGGTAACTGTGAACGCCCCATACTTTAAGTATGAAAGTAACAAACAGGTATGTTTTAGGGGGTTTTAATGTATTTTCCCATATATATTTGAGGACTAACTCTTTTTTTATAATTCGCANTTTCATCTGCTCAGTTTAGTTCTTACAATAAGTTGTTAGATATTGTGGTATCCCACGTCATTTCTCCAAAAGGATCCTGAATAAGTAACATTTTGCATGCACTGGTATGTTTTACTTCAAAATATACAGATAAGGCAAAATGACCGTTTAGCTGTGAGCAAGCTTGTTACCAGTTTGACAAGAGGAACTGTTCGCTCGCCTCTAGCTCAATGCCTCTTGATTCGTTATACTAGTCAGGTGCCTTCTTTTTCTTTCATTTCTAATTTTTGAGATTTAACATCATAACTTGATTGGACTTCTATTATAGTACGAGATTCTGATTCTGGGTTTGTTAACTAAGAATTGGGATTTCATATCTATTCAGGTTATAAGAGAGGCTACCATGAGTAATCAAACAGGGGATAGGCCATTCTATGACTATCTAGAGGGTTGCCTACGTCACAAAGCAGAAATGGTTATTTTTGAAGCTGCCAGGGCAATCACAGAGCTTAGTGGTGTGACTAGTCGGGAATTAACTCCTGCAATCACTGTTCTACAGCTCTTTTTAAGCTCTTCCAAGCCAGTTCTTAGGTTTGCTGCTGTTCGCACCTTGAATAAGGTGATTCGTCTATACTTTCATTGGTCTTCAAGCTCTATTGTGAATGGTTAAGTTGGTCATGCGGTAATTGTGTTTTGGTTAAGTAATGATGCCAATGAATGATACAAACTAACCCATGTTTTTCCTTTTGGGATAACTCAGTGTGTTTATCTGTACAAATACCAGAATTCCCCTTTGACAATGAAAGATTAATGTGTTTGTATGCGACTGAAAGTGGGACCAAGTGGTTGGCCCCTCATCCCTCTTAATCCCAATTTTAATATAGCACCTTCTCTATTTTGAGACATTTGGCACTATTCTACTAATAATATTATTCTATACGACTTTTAAGACTTCAAATTCTTTACTTATTGTTTATCCATCAGACTAACTTTTCAGTTGTTACTTCAATACTTTTTTCCAGTACTCTTAATATACTACATAAGTCAAATTAACTTTTCAAACTCCGTGTCCAGTCAAGCACCATCATTGGATGGAGGGAGTAATACTTTGTGCAAGAAAATAGAAATGCTTGTTTTCTCCTATCTGATTCTATAATAGTTTAAACCCTTTTTGTGCTTTCTGTAATTGAAGCAGAAGGATTAGGAATTTGAACTGTGTGCAGGTGGCAATGACACATCCTTTGGCTGTGACAAACTGCAACATAGATATGGAGAGCTTGATTTCTGATCAGAATAGGAGCATAGCAACTCTTGCCATAACGACTCTGCTTAAAACCGGCAATGAATCAAGTGTTGATCGTTTGATGAAGCAGATAACTAATTTTATGTCTGACATTGCTGATGAGTTCAAGATTGTTGTGGTGGAAGCCATTAGATCATTGTGTTTGAAGTTTCCCCTGAAGTACAGATCTTTGTGAGTAATCATGGACTTTTAAGGAAGTGCATATAAATACTCCTACATGAACTTTTTTGGTTTCATAGATCCGCCAAGAAAAGCCTCCAAAACAAATGTAATATTTTTTTTGTTTAACTTCTGGAGGATATTTGCTAATTCTTTCATATTTGTAGGATGAATTTCTTAAGCAATATTTTGAGGGAAGAAGGAGGATTTGAGTACAAAAAGGCTATTGTTGACTCAATTGTGATCCTGATCAGAGACATTCCAGATGCTAAAGAAAGTGGGCTGCTTCACTTGTGTGAATTTATTGAGGACTGTGAATTTACATACCTTTCTACTCAGGTTATTTGGCTTCTCCATTCAATCTCCATTGTTCATGGTTTTCTTGTTAATCTAAATTGTTTTGCTGAACCTTTTCTCTCTCTCTCTCTCTCTCTCTCTCTCTCTCTCTCTCTCTCTCTCTCTCTCT